CGCCTCCTCCGTCCATTGAAATTTTGAGCTCTTCTTTAGTGTTTTGAATAATGGGCCACTTTTCTACGCCACCTTCGATATGAAACGACTCAGCCCCGCAATTCGACCAGCTAAGATCTGCACTTCCTTAACATTCTTCGGCGGCTTCATCTCCATTACGGCTCGAAACTTCTCAGGATTCACTTCAATACCTCTCTTGGTCACCAAGTAACCCAAAAATTTTCCCGACCTCACCCTGAAAGAGCACTTAGCTGGATTCAATTTCATCCCATACCTCCACAATGTTCAGAACGTCTCTTTCAAGTCTCGCACATGATCCAACTCCTCCTTGCTCTTTACCAACATATCATCCACATACACCTCCATGTTCCTCCCCAGTTGCTCCTTAAAATTTTTATCGACCAACCTTTGATACGTGGCGCCTGCATTCTTTAGGCCGAACGTCATGACTACGTAACAATAGGTTCCTCGACTCATTACAAAACTCACCCGCTTCCTGTCTTCTCTCGCTAAAGGGATCTGATGATATCCCTGGGAGGCATCCATCAGGCTCAGCAATTCGCACCCCGCCGTTGAGTCGACCAACTGGTCGATTCTGGGCAGTGGGTGTAAGTCCTTTGGGCATGCTTTGTTCAGATCACGGAAATCAATGCACATTCTCCATTTTCCTTCCGCCTTCGACACCATCACTGTATTCGACAACCATTCGGGGAACTGGATATCCTTGATATGCCCTGCTCCCAATAGCTTCTCGACCTCCTTCTCAATGATTTTGTCCATCTCCGCCCCATGGTGTCTTCTTTTCTGCTTCACCGGCCTCACACTGAGGTCGATGTTCAGCCAGTGCTTGATCACTTCCGCACTTATCCCCGTCAACTCCTCCTCTGTATAGGCAAAAATGTCAGCGAACTCCCTAACCAGATCGATAAGCCTCGACCGAATAGGCTCCTCCAGGTCCTTCCCGATTCTGAACTTCCTCTCCTCATACCCCTCGATCATCTGAATCTCCTCCACTTCTCCCCCTGGCTGAATATCTATCTTCTCCTTACCCTTCTCCATTTTCTGTTTATCCTCTTTCGACCTCGACCCACCTGGTCGATTAATCTCCTCCTCCTTTGACTTGGCCTGCCTCTTCGCCAGTTGCTTATTATTGCTAACCGTTGTTTGGTAGCA